GAAGTACAGTGCACTTGACTTGGTCGATGGGTATTACCAATTGCTCATGAGAGCGAGTAATATTCCACTGAAGGCGGTGAGCACTCCGATCGGCATGCTCTGGGAGTGGCTGGTGATGCCTCAAGGGCTGCCAAATGCACCAGCAACATTTAATTGTCTTGGACGCAGTTGTTCAGGCCCCACAGGGCGTATGCACAGACATACTTTGACGACATTTTCGTTCATAGGCGTGCGGAGCACGGGAGGACAGATGTGGAGAACCACATCGTCCATTTAAGAGCGCTCGAGTGCATGCGCACTAGGAAGCGTAAGTTAGGTCACGGACCTCTCGTTCTATACTCAGAACAAGTACGAGTTTAGCGCATCGAAATCTGCTTACTCCAAGAGTAATTAGTTCTTCGCTTTATATTTGAAATCGACTTTATTGTTGTTTATCTGCGGCAAAGCCGCCTAATTTTAAATGCATAGATTTTCTTGAATATGTATAGTAAAATCTAAATTCATGTATAAGTACTGGCTATCCAGCCACGTACTGTATTCTGATTTGGGTGTGGTCACACCATGCCCATCTAGTGTGACAGTTGTTGTCAAACTGACTTTGAACCCCGTTACAAAGACGGCTTTCAAAGTCAGTTTGACAACAACTCGGGTACGTCTCTCAATATTAGCAAGAGCTGAAAGCCGCAAACTGTCAAGGACAAATTAATTAAAGGTTGCTATGCATTATCTTTTACGCGGGTATGCGTCCTCGGCCCGAGGATGTCACATTACCGCAATCTGCTGGGGTATTTTTCACGAATTTTCTCGTGATTTTTTGTTGTACGACTCGCCATCCGCTAAACACAGCGACACCGTCGCCACCAATGTGGCTATGGAAAATTTTCAAATATACCCTTAAGGTAAAAAAAATTCTTGTCTGCAATTTTGGCATTTGCGTTGCCCAATATATGAGTAATGTTAAGTCCAACTGTGTAATCACAGACCAAAGATGCTGTATAAACGGCGTATGGGTCAGGTATAATTTACGTGGTATTATTGAAAGTTTTGAAGTGCAAGGAGGTTTAACTTAGATAATACGTTTGTAAGCGCTTCCCACCCCTGGTCCTTGTCGCAAGCTTTGCTATGTTAGAGCATCAATCCGCTTAGTACACAACGTGTGATCAGGACTTCTCATACATAAAAATTTAATGAGGTATATACCATACTAAAGAAGGGCATCAAGACGTGAGTGCTATGCAAGGGTGCCCAAGTGGTAAGTGCTGACGTGTGCGCGTGTGAAATATAGCAGGAGGTATACTCTTCGCCGCACTCTAGGCGCATTTCGTTATCTTGCCCGTTCCAGTAGAATGATGGCAATCAATTAGCATTGTCCATATTTTCGGTTTCTAAAGACAGCTTTAGTGGTGCAGGTTTTGTAGTATTAGCAACTCGAGCCAAATGGCCCAATCGTCAGTGCCAGCGACATTATTACAGGTGGAGATATGGCCAGGTTGCCCAGTCCGTTATATGGTTCTGATAAAAGACCTAGGAGATCATACAAATTAGCTCAGCCATAGCTAATTTGACTTTGGCAGGGTCGTCCTGGTGCTATCGTGAAGCGCCAGGCCGACGACCCAATTATCACCGATTTAAAATTCATTCAGGACAAGTCCGACGGGATCCTAGGCTTACCTAAGTAATATAACTGGTGCTCCTGTACAACTTCATCATCTTTTTAAAATGAAATGGGAAGTCCCTCGAATTAGTTTCACTCACAGCATAAAAATTGGCTTTTGGGTGCATGATTCGTCACAATCACAAATGGCTTAGAGTCAAGCAAGTGTAATCAGATTGACAACAGTATGCTTTTTGACGAATAACCTTTTGTAATGAGCTAAATAGCGATTATATGCGCTTCAAACTAGAGGTACTCAATTGCAAAATGATTTATGGCTAAAGGAACAAGCTGGAAGCAAATCATTGCGTATGACAAATGCCGATTTATCATAGACGACGTATTGAATTGCTTGTCCGTATCTAAATGGCCCAAAGTAGACCGCACGTGGGGCTTCATTTGAAAGTCTGGAAGGCATCGTCAGTGCGCCAGAAGCATCAAGTTTTAAGAAAAGTGATAAGTGTCATGATATGTTGGCATAATTCGAACTATACGTTTGCGGAAGGTTGTTCATACTAACCCACTTTCGTAATCTCTTAACGATTGTGGCAAAATAGCGCGCGCACATTGCACGTCAGACTTACCGCGAAATTTAATTTATAAGTACCAAGGCTGAATACTTTAGTAAAGTAGAAAAAGCGCGATACCAAAGTAAGCACCATAAAAGAAATTGTCGGTGGGGGGCTTGGCAGCCGGCCTCAAACAATGCATCAAACTGAGTTGTAGTTTTTAGATGATAATATGTACATTTTAGTTTGAACTCCTAGCTAGTAACCTATAGATTTCGATATATCAAGCTTATCTCTGATCAGTGTACAGGTTTTGACACTCGAAGAGATTTGTTTCTGTCTCCGAGACCAGTTTATTGGCTTTTAGTTTTTTCATTGCTAGCGCGGACGCTTCGTCTGTTTAAAGTGCAATGGCAACCTTTAAAAACATGAGGTGTCCATTGGTCTTACGTCGTTCAGCAAGAGACGCATGATAAATTTCTGGTTTCAGTTGGCTTCGAGATGATAGCAAAACTGGCGGTTCGATGCCAGAAGGCGAAAACGGCTCGCCTGAAGGCTTTGACTAGTGATAAGACTGCGCTGGTGAGAGACATCCTAGAATGTATCTGCTATGTACGGTAGAAATAATACCGATTCCTTGATTGCTCTATAAAGCACGACCGCTTCTATTATGCGTCAATTTCTGTTAATGAATATACAGAGTCATTTCCTCCGAACATAGTTTAAAAAGAATGGCTGGGATGGCTATCAACCCAATCCTGTTGAAACCCGATGGATAGTGGTAGCAAATTCTGGGCTAGGCGGTCGAAAAATTGAGTAGCGTGAAAGTGCGATTTGACATGAATAAGTAAGGAGCACTTACGAATCATGCTAGTTTTTATCGACCAATCAAGCTTACAACATCCAGACAGAGGTTTTTTGTCAACGGATAAACAATTGTTGAACTACGTTCCGAGGTTGCAAACTGTCATAGCCATTACTCTTTCTAGATTAGAAACATTAATCGTATTCCCGCGATTATCTATCCCGCACAATGATCTTTTGAGCACATCTTACGTGTTCTAAGCAAGCGGTGAATGTCCCATCCAATGCAAACGCAGCTTCCGAACCGCAATTATTCGTTGGACTGAGATAAATCTAAGATTTTTGACCACACCAGAGTCCATGCTCTTCAGTCAGGTCGAGGGGATAAATCGCTGTCTGATAAGTGCTGAGCGGATCGGCGTTACACTAAGATACAGCACAAGCGGGTCTATCAAGCATTTACACCCTGTATGGCCCACCCTCTGGGTAATATGGGTTATTTTACAACACAGAAACGATAGACTGACACCTTAATGAAAAACATCGAATCCTAGTACGTGATACAATAAAACTTCTGTGCTCTAATGTATGTCTTCGAGGCGGGACCAACACCCCTGGTTTGTTCGCCGTTGACATCAACGTTCTAATCTTAATAAAACTTTAATGAGCCGTACCCAGCCATTACATGAAGGAACCTAAGCCGTGCGTTACAGGACAAAAAACAAAAAGATTACAGCAGGACAGATCCCACATGCATGTGTTACCTCATTGGATGATGTCAACAATGGCTTCTGTATTTGATCGATGCAAATTGACAATTCTCACTGGTAATGAGACCGATGTGTCTTGAATATCTAAAGTATGTGGCGTGAGCCAGGTTCTCAAGATTCATACCCAAGATTATATATCAGGTAGAAGATTTCACTTTGCATGTGTAGAATTTATACATATAACCTCTAAGAGCTCGAGTAGTTTTATTCATGAATATTTAGTAATCATAATCTCTATTCAATTCATTTGCAATTGTACCGCAATCCTATCAAGTCTTCCTCCCAAGTGCAAGCGGGCTGTGTTTGGGGTTGTCTTGGAAAGCCTTTTGCAGAAACCATAATACACTATGACGAATTGCAAATATTTGTTCGATACACTAACGTTGAAAACGGTAACATATAGACAAAGGCATTGAGAATACAAACTGCGGGTACATAATCCGTTTACTGGGCAAGTTGGGAATCTACTTCGACTCGAAAGCTGAAGCGCTATACGCGCGGGCGAGAAACTTCAAGAGATAAAAAATTGTTCGAGATAGCCCCACCAAAGCTCAGAATGCATAAGCGCGGCTATAAGCTGCGATTAACCTGGATGTATACACGTCCGCGAGGAAATATGTGTTGTCACCAAATTATTATACGGTGAGACGCTGTTAAGCAACCGTATGTCGTGGTATACAACGATGCTCTCTGTTGAGGCATATAGTAATACTTTGGCACTTGATGTAATTGTAAATATTCATAAATATTGAAATAATGATATTTTGAAGATTACGGACGCTGAAAGGAGGAGTCCGAAAACACACGGGTTGCTGACCGAACAAGAGAAATATTATATTATTATGGAACAACTACATTTAGTATTCGTAGGAACGAATGGATTTAAAATACATCCTTTTTTTCCATTTAGTATTCGTAGGAACGAATGGATTTAAAATACATCCTTTTGAAAAATTGACAGTATTACTTCCGTTCGAGGCTTTTGGTCTCGCACGCCGTGGAAGTAAACAAACCAATTATTTGTGTGTATGTTAACGCGGACACTTCGATTCGAGGTTTCCTCTGTTCATATTGCGCCTCAGTCGCGTTGCGCTTGAATGCTTTGGTAGTCAGCCCCACGACTGAGTCGTGATAAGAAATATTCTTATGCAAGGGTGGAACGTGAAATGCTTTAAATCTATACTTCGTACAAGTAGATCACCTTATTAAATATTATTTGTCGGTATTAGGTCTCCATGAATTCAGGGATTTGGCAGCCAATGAGCCGGAAACGTTAATTGATTGCCTGGGGTAGTTTGCCAGACACATGCGAAGATACTTGAGTATAGCCTTAGTGCCATTGTTGATGATATGAGTTCCTATACTCCGCTGGGGATTTTCAGCAACGTAAAGAGCCCTAAGATTCTCACAGCGCGCAAGCTTTACTGGAATATGAACAATACAATTTTGAAACCGCTCTAATTTGCCGTGATCTAAAGCGCCCCCATTGGGCGCCGGTGCAGGAATACATGGATCCTACCGTGACGTTGCTGATATTTAGCGTCCAGGTCCTTGAAAGCCAGGACGAAGAATATATTTCCTACTGGATGCGGGAGATAGCCCTGGATTGGCCATGCTTTAAATAGAGCCACATCGTGTCGAGACGCGGGGAATCAGCTAGTAGTTCCTGTGTGAGAATATAAATTGGTGTTACATTTCTCAGTACAAGAGGCGTTTTAAACGCTGGACAAATTTGAATCGTTCGATATCTCGGATGTCCGCAGCGCCAAACCGGGTGTATCGTTATGTTTTAAGCTTTTATTTTTTCATCAAGTGAGATGAGAACCGTCGAATTGTGTCCTGAAGTTATGAACTTTATCTTTATTCACTGTAATGGCGTTTGACCTTTTACAAAGATAGTAACGCGTACCATCTTTCTGGAGGTTCTTCGAACGAGTGTGGCTCGCACTGATAGCGTTTTACCCACTTTATCTCTTCGGTGGGCGTCGCATTCAATGCCAAGCGTAAGATTCATGGCGCGACAGAAGACAGAAACGCAAGCTAGGCGAGCACGCGAAAGGCAATAGACCACAGCCAATCTTAGGAAGAAAAGATATAGCTTATAGCTTTTGTGCAGAATTGCGGTACCCAACGATTTTTTATCTGCGATAGCTTGAACCATTTGCGCCTTGCGTCACCTTTTTGCTCTCGGCTGATGAGCACAAAAGATCGAAGCAAACGCAAGGGCGAACGCCGAGCCTCTCAGATGGGAAAGGCAAATACCAACAAGCGCAAAGCGGCCTGCTGGAATGATGTGCCTGGATTGTTATTCTTGGAGGTCGTGGTCTAGGAACCCAGCTCAAACATAGTGTTTCGCTCGCCTTATAAGTCGCAGAGCACACAGTCCAGGATTGTTGGTCATTAATGTCAACGACTCAGGCTTTGTCATGCCGCGGCATTTTATTTTTTTTGTGAAATTACGTACTGTCGAGGAAACAGACGGTACGCGGAAGAGTCAAAGTTTCCGAATACGAAAACGCTGTTGGTGCGTTTTGCGACCGAGACGCTAGTAAAAGTGGTGAAGCTTAGGGTGAACAGTCAAGTAAAGTTTGAGAGCGTTGACAACCTAGAAGGTTGTCTCGTCTTAGACTTTAATCAAGAAACAACAGCATGCTATGCTTGGCGTGGCTGGAGCTCCACGATCCTTGTATCGACTGGAAGTCGAGATAGAATAATGAAGCGCACTCAAAGTTTTGACAAACTATAGTTGATTTTATAAAGAAACAGGAACGCTTTTGGCGTTGACACGAAGCCTTGATAGCTTCGTAAAACATGTAAATTTGCGTACCGGCAGTGAGCCGAGGACTCAGGATAAGACGAGAATGAATGACTTGATGTCGTGGTCTCCACAGTGTCATTTTGTTGGGACGACCAAGACCAGCCGTGAACTGCTGCATCAGGCCGGTAGAGTCGGAGAGCGTCTTTGTGTCGCGGGTCCACCGCGATTGAGCAATGAATCTCCATGGTTGACCTGACGAGAATATCCGCTCATGAGCAGAGTGACTGGGATAGCCCTAATGGTTTTTTTTTTGCGTCTTTCAATTCCTCCGGTAGAACACTGTACTATACCATGGCACCATCCCTTTGATATATGTGCAACAAAATGCAAGACGGTGAAGTTATCGAAAAAGTACGGTTCGTACAAGAGGTAGAGTTTTTCCTTTGTGATTGATGACACTGTCATTGAGCTTCCTCGTAGAGCACTATGTGCGTGGATGGAGACGGCTATCCTCGCAGGTCTTACTTGTTCGGTGAAGGAATGCCTTGACGTGGTGATGAGAGGTTCACCGCGCGTGTTACCCATAGTTTGTGAAGTGCGTAGTAAATTAATTCGGGGAGTTGTAACCAAAACTGCGTCAT